AGCGCGGCAGAGCTCGCGGGCATGGCGAGCCGGTAACAAGCAGAAAAAACAAACTTGTTCCTCAAAGGAGCCAGGGACAGGCTCTGGTTTTATGCTTTAAGTGCGTTCCCCTGAAAGAGTTGCCGTAGTAGGACCAGAAATGCAGGAAAGGGGTGGCAAACACCCTTCTCCTGGTAAATCTCTTAAATTATCGATGGAAAAAAAACCCTTGTATTTGAAGACCGTGCACCTTCCGTGTTTTCCTTCAAGGAAGTGAAGGAAAACCACAAGACCTTGAGGCAGCAAAGGCAGTTACAGCCCACTTTTACCAGAAACCCGTAATCCTGCCTTTATTTTCCTGGGCAGAGAGCTGGGATTCGGTATCGGCCTGACGTGGGATGCTCTCCCAAGCGTTGCCTTTGAAAAACTAAGCCTTAACGCTGAGACTTGCTCTTATTTCCCCGTAGGTCAACGTCGGGTGCGTGCCAAAGAAGGTAAGCGGGCTTTCACCGCCGGCTCCAGCGGCGCCTCGGCCGTGGGTTGGGTCTGATTTGGGTGGCTGCCGAATTGCGGGGGGGTGCTGGCGCGGGGCACGGGGAGGAAGAAGCAGGAAGGAAACCGGGGCTCGGAGCATATTGAGCCATCGCGATGCCATAAAGCGCTCAGACCCGTGTCCCGTGGGCTGCTCCGGGCAGAGGTGAAGCATCGGGAAGCGTGGCAGGGGGTCTTCCCAAAATCATACTGGTTTTCCCGAGCTGACTTGGGGTTTGTGTGGGCAGGTGATGTGGAACGCGGCGGTCCACGCGGAGTTTGTCCACGATCACGCCGACTACGGCTTCGAAACGCCCGGCGTCAAGTTCAACTGGCGGTAAAGAAGGAAAGAGCCGGGTGGAAAAGAGCCGACCCCGTGGGGTGGAACGCGGCGGTCCACGCGGAGTTTGTCCACGATCACGCCGACTACGGCTTCGAAACGCCCGGCGTCAAGTTCAACTGGCGGTAAGTACGGAAAGAGCCGGTTGGAAACGAGCGTCTCCCGGTGCGAGTCCTGCGGGGAGCATCCGCGGGCCAGCGCCGCGGCCCCGTGGCTCGTTGTCCACCTGCCCGCTTTGAGGCTTCCCATGGATGGATGCTGAGCTGGTTACACGGCCGGGAGTCCTGCTGGATGTTGACAAGGGCGGCTGGCAAACCCATGGGAGGAGATTCCAGAAAAGAGGAATGCTGGGAAGGCAGGCAGAAAAACCTCGTGTCGGTGGGGAAGTTACCCAGTTACCTGCTGGGTAACTCGGGGCTGTTTTTGTAGCGTGGTGCCGCGTACCGAAGGGATTGAATTGTTTTTCGCTGAGCTCTGTAAGTTCATTCGCTCGCGGTGACGATAAACCCCCGCTCTGTTCCAGAACGATTAAAGAAAAGCGCGACGCTTACGTGAGGCGCCTGAATGAGATCTATGAGAATAACGTAAAGAAGGTGAGGATGCCTTTATCCCGCGAGCTGAGCAGGGAAGCGGGCTCTGCTGGATTTTTGGCCGCTTTTCCAGCCTTAATGGGTGTTCTCTAAGCTGGCTCCGTTAGCTGGCTTTCGCACCTCCTCCTGCCGTTAATCACCTAACGGTTGCTCCCCTAAGGCTCACATCGACATCATTCGGGGCTATGGCAAGTTCACCGCCGATCCCCAGCCTACCGTGGAAGTGGATGGGAAAAAGTACACAGCTCCTCACATCCTTATAGCCACGGGTGGGCGCCCGACCGTCCCACCCGACAGCGAAATTCCCGGTGAGCCTCACGCAATTCCCCGGGCAGCCTGGAGAAAGGTCTGCCAAAACAAAACGGGTTTGGGGAGGTGCGGGGCTGGCAAGGGGTGCGAAAGGGGCTCTGCTTTGCAGGTGCCAGCCTGGGAATGACCAGCGACGGCTTCTTCGACCTGGAGGAGCTGCCCAGGTAAAGCGGGGCTCACCCCCCCCCTCCCCGGCTGCCGCCGGCGGCGGCTCAGCGTGCCTGCACACGGCATCGGCGCCTCTCCCCAGGCGCCGCGTTATTGTCGGGGGCC